CCTCTGAGCTGATTGTGTTCCTATGGGGGTCAGGGTTAATTTTGGTTTAGACTCGATGAATGTTTAACAGGTCATGTAGTTGTTTGTCACTGACATGAGGACGGTGAATGTTTACAAGGAGGATATCACCTCCTCTCTGAGTACTGTTATTAGAATGGGGTCCCAATAGTAACCAAGACTTAACTGGTTCTGCAGGCCAAAAGAAAAAAAAATGGGCTTTTAAACTCAAATTTCAAAGAAGCTCATCAGATTTGGATGGGAACAAATGTGTCCAATGGCACCTTGGATATACAGCTGAAATGGTTTCAATATTAATTAGTATACTAAAGTGCTATATTCAGTTAAAAATTAACAAAGTTGTTTGATCAGCTGCTGTTTCAAAAGTTTCATCATGACCACTATTGAGCTTTGTCATTACAGATTGAATCCTCTGCAGCACTTATAGTCATACCCACAGAGGGATAAATAACTCTTACAAGTATTTATTGGTCAAAGGTAACTTTCATTCTTAATGAGTTCCAGGTAAGACTCTGCTTAAAAACTATTTCTGTTGATCTCCTTGTTGCTTCAATTGGAAATAAAAAGGGTCTCTTGGCAAAAACTCATTTAATCTGTCAGTCACAGCTCCCTTAACGTAGAAAATGCTATCAGTCAACCAGGACATGCCATCCCAGCCATGAGCAAAGATGCCAACTGGGGGGCTGGGAAGGTGGCTCAGTGGTAGAGCACTTGCCTTGCATGAGTGAGGCTCTGGGTTTGATTCCTCAGCACCACATAAGCAAAAAGAAAAAAGCCGGAAGTGGCACTGTGGCTCAAGTGGTAGAGCGCTAGCCTTGAGCTGAAGAGCTGAGGGGCAGTTCCCAGGCCCAGAGTTCAGGCCCCACAACCGGACCCCCCCACACACACAAAAAAGATGCCAACTGGGACATGCCATCCCGGCAGGCCAAATGGGACATAATCCCAGCAGCAAGAAGAAACCTCCCAGCCTCTCTCGGGACAAAGGCAGTACTGGTGACAAGGGATCATGGAGACGAGTAAATCAACCACAGGCAGATGGAAAAAACTGTGCAGATAAGAGGGGATGGTGTCAGATCCTAAATGGAGTCATGGTGCTTGTCCTTTCAAAATTAACCATAGCCCAGGAGTCAAAAGAAAATAGCATGCCTATTTGATCTTACCTGTCTTTCTTCAAACTGGACAGCAACTTATTTCCTTGCCTTTGTTACCTGCTATTTCAGTTTATAGTGAGTCTCCCATCCATACTCTAGAGTCCAGACATCTATAGGGCAGGAAATGATCAAGGCCTCCTACCAGGCCCTGATCCACTCCAACCTAGCCCCAGTTTCTGACTGGTCATTCTTATCCACTATGCTCTCCCCTACCTAGTCGCCAGATATTAATCAGTCAGGAGTGGCTAGGGACATGATCAACCAACTCCAGGACCACCTGGAAATCAGGAGACAGGAACTAGCCAAGTCATCCAATGTTTTCTTTTCAGCCCTGAATGGATGACTGCCTTTCCATGTGCCATTTGTGAGCCCTCCAACAATGTTTTTTTCTTGTCTTATTGTTCGGCCCCTGCCTTGTAAGACTTCTTTCAGATTTCATTCAAAGACGCATGCCTGCAATCACCACCAAGGAACTGCTGCCTTCCCCAGGACCAGATGACATCTCTGCCTTCTACCCCTAAAATAGATACTCCTTTTCAGCAGGAAGTACCCACGGATGGTCAACACACCTCTATAACTATCAAAAGATTAGAATATGAGGAGGGAAAGTGGGAGAAAAATGAGGGAGAGGGTAACAATGTTCAACAAGAAATGTACTCACTGCCTTAGGTATGTAACTGTAACCCCTCAGTACTTCACCTTGACAACAATTTTTTTAAAAGGCTAGAATGTTAGGTCTTCCTAGGAAAGATGCTCCTTTCATTTGTTTTCTTTCCATAGGAAAAAACATGTAGATCCCCTCCCCTTTGTCCTCTCTCCATGCAAAACTGCACATGGTCCTCCTCAGAAGTCCCCACCCACCACCTGTAATCCAGGCAACTGGCACACCTGGGGCAGTGGGAGATTCCCCAGGCTCTGAGGTCACTCCCTCATCCAGTCATACCTCCTCATCTTCCCTATAAAATCTCTCTCTGCACACCCACATCTGATGCAGGATAGCGATGAGGTTCTCCTAATAAACACTCTTCTGTCTGAACTGCATCCTTCCAGGCACCCCGACAGTATACGTATGATTTCAGTTAACATGTAAAACATGAAGATTCTTACTATGTCTTTTTTTACATAGTCTTTTCTTACATAGTCTTTTTTTAAAAAAAATGTTAACATTGTCAGGCACTACTGGCTCATTCCTTAAATCCTAGCATCTCAAGAAGCTGAAGATCTGAGGACTGAGGTTTGAAGCTAGTCAAGGCAGGAAAGTTCATGCGACTCTTATCTCCAATTAACCACCAAAAAGCCAGAAGTGGAGCTATGGCTCAAGTGGTAGAGCACTAGCCTTGAGTGAAAAAGCCAAGGCAGAGAGCAAGGGCCTGAGTTCAAGTGCTAGCACACACACACACACACACACACACACACACAATTACAGTAACAGAGAAGTTGGAGAATTTAAATTTGGTAAGGATGGAAGAAGGGATATCTGGGATTGGAGTCTGGGGGAAAATGGTAAGTATACAGACTTAAACCCTTTTGTGGAGGTCAAAGCATTTCTGATAATAAAGAGAGTGAGCTACGAAGTTAGAATATGAGAGCAGAATCTGGGTGCTCGTGTCTTATGCCTGTATTCCTATCAGCAGGCCGAGATCTGAGATTTGAGATTTGAAGCCATTCCAAGTAGAACAGTCTGTGAGACTCTTATCTCTAATTAACCATCAAAACACTAAAGTGCAGACATGGCTCAAATGGCAGAGCACCACCCTGGACTGAAAAAGCCAAGGAAGAGAGCAAGGCCCTAAGTTCAAGCCCCAGTACAGGCACACACGCATAAAATGTGAACACTGTTGTTCTGAAAAACAGATCTAGTAATCAGTCTTACTCTGTGAAAGACTCTAGACTCATTGGAATGGGAGGAAACATGGTTGATAAAGGTAGCAATGAAGGATTCATAGTATCTTCGAGGAAAAAAGAATTGGTTAAGCAAGAATCTCTCAGTAATAGGGAGAGATAATTACCCACATAAAAAGAGAAACAAGAAGGAAGGAACATTAAGATGCACAAAAATCTGTTCCGTAGTATAACAACAACAAGCAAATTTCTATAAAAGCCATACTGTTAAGACTATCAAATATTTGTTTAACTTCCATGAATAAAGAAACCTTTACCTTTCCCCTAATTACTTTTCTTTTTTTTTTTTTTTTGTCGGTCGTGGGGCTTGAACTCTGGGCCTGGGCGCTGTCCCTCAGCTCTTCAGCTCAAGGTGAGTGCTCTACCACTTGAGCTACAGCGCCACTTCTGGTTTTCTGGTGGTTTATTGGAGATAGGAGTCTCACGGTCTTTCCTGCCTGGGCTGGCTTTGAACCGCGATCCTCAGATCTCAGCCTCCTGAGTAGCTAGGATTACAGGCGTGAGCCACCAGCGCTCGGCTTCCCCTAATTACTTTTCAACCATTCATATAGGAAAAAAATCAACCAATCCTCTGGCTTTTGACTGGTTGAGAAACCAGTCTGATCTTAAAAACTAACTGTGGATATTTACCTAATGTCATATCCAAAGTGCATCTTCAGTCAAGCCTCAGTATCTGTGAGGATTTGTGAAGCTCCTCATATGTTCAAGTCGTTTATATAAAATAGCACAATTTTTGCATATAATCTATACATACCATGTACTCCATGCCACCCAATAAAATGTAAAAGCTGCTTCAATAATTATTATGCTACATTGTTTAGAGAATGGTGACAAGAATGTAGAATTAGTATATGCGCATTAGGGACTCAAGTGTCCTGGACATAACTACATTTTCTATTCATGGTTGGCTGAATGGTAGACGTGGAATCCTTATGCAGAGTCAACAGAATTTCCTTGTGCATAATGGACGGGGCAACAGGTGTATGAGAGTCAATGGCCTTTCCCATTCTAACCAACCCCTCCTCTTTTATCGTGGGGAATTTTGAAAACCTCCTATGCAGAGCAAACAGAAATGGAGAGCAGAGGCCTATATTCAAGCTCCATTACAGGCACACTTATATAGTTATTAGCCAAAGGTTAGTTAACATGCTCTTTCCTAGGCAACACCAGGCCCATTTAGTAAAAGCAATAAATAATTAGCTTCTACCCCTACCCTGAGAGGGCTCTACTTTGGGATAGCTATAACCACATAAAGCAGCAAGATCCCCTTATGTGATCCCCCTTACAGGTCATATGGGTACCTAAGAGGGCACTCCTTTGGAGCACTAAAACCATATAAGGCAGCAAGACGGACAAAATCTCAGAGGCTATAAAAATCACCTGTGACAATAGCTGGCCCTTCTCTCTGTCCCTTTACTGGCAATAAACCTTTTCTTTGTTCTTTATACCTGGATGTCTGTGTGGTTTTCTGGCAAAGTCTAATTTACTCTAACAATAGCTTTACCAGCTATAGCTTACTTTATTTTTGAAACCAAATAACCAAGTTACTATCTGATAACTGCAGTTTTTAGCCACACAGTTTAAGGGCAGCCTGCTTCCAAGAAGAGGAATGAGGCTGGATCTAGGGACAAACTTGGAATTTGGAATTGAGAGTCCATGAGCCAACACAGATAGATGCAAGCTTTAGTGTTCACCAGGAAGTTGGCACAACTTGTTGAAACAGCCTGGCTCCACCATGAATCAGCCTCTGTCTGGGCCACACAGGAATGTGACTTATCTACAGAGATGACCCAAGTGAAAAGACCCAGTACAAACCAGTTGTTTTATCTGTGTCCATTTCAGCCAGTCCTTGCTGGGTGCAAACCCCCAGAGCCAGGCACAGGCCTGTAGGAACCGCTGTTGCCCGCGGCAGCAGAGCCCATGACCTACCTGAGCTCATTGACAGGCGGGTTTTGCAAGCGGATGAGCACCAGGGAGTTGGATAGCCTCAAGTACTCAGCCATTTTCCCCGGTCACTGAAGCTTCCTTAATTGCGGTGCCAGCTCAGCCTCCAGTCTAAAGGAGTTCTTCGGAGGGAGCCAGGCACCACCTCCCGCCTGCTGCGGCCTCCCCTTCCGACCCCCTTCCTCCAACCGCGTGGAAGTTGTGCAGATGCCTGCCATCACAACAAATCAGAGGACACCGAAGAAGAAAAGTAGGTGTGGCAGAAGGCTACCGGGGGCGGGGCCG